ACTTCCTTAGGTAAAGAGGAAATACTAAGTGTTGTTTTCAGGCATCTGCAAACAGGATTTTCTCCTCTCCATAATACCACCAAAGGGTACGTTTCCCATCTATCCCAGTAGTATTCACTTCCTAGAAAATAAGCTTAAGTTCCCAATTTACTGTAAATAAAAATACTTTGCAGCAGTACTCCTGCAAAGCTATAAAAGAATAGTCCATACAGAAGATATTATAGGTAAGTAAAGTCCCATTGAAATCAAAGAGATTTAATTGTAAGCAACTGTGTTTAGGATCAGAGTGCCAGGCTGCAACTGACAAAATTGGTTAACTCTTAAGTAGTGTAAACTGAAATTAAGCAAGTGAGAAGGAATTGCTCCACAAGTTTCTATTGGCCAGCAAGCCAACTCCACCTAGTCCAATAAGCATTCCATGCTTTGGAAAGACCCCAGCCTTTCTCAGTGTAGATCCCTTCTTATTAAGTCTGCTACTTTCACCGGTCATTCTTTAGAAGGTATAAAGCCTGTCTTGATTGTGGTGATATCATTAAGGGTGGTTGAATTACTCTGGAAGCCTTGGTTAGTAGAGAAAGGATGATTGGCAAATAGGTGAGAAGCAAGAACAACATCGTTCTGAAGATTAATTTTTTCTAAATACTTTAGAAAGTATTTAAGTATTTTTCTAAATCCTTAAATACTTTAGTTCATTGATAAATTTACCAGAAAGTAAGTCCCTCTAATCTCAAGCAAACTCAGGGACCAATAAACTCTTACAGAGTTGCAATGAGGGGTTGGCAGCAGAGTCCCATGCAACTATTATTTAGAAATAATTCCATCCAGTTCACTGAGACAAATATTTTTTTGTATTGCAGTTGTAATGTGCAGTATAGAATATCCAGAAAAACGGAGCAATGGATTTGCTTTTATTTTTTCTGCAACTAAGAATCTTGGTACAGCCTATAGAAGTTTGCATGCATGTTCAGCTTCAAGATACCACGAGACACACAGTATTGCTCTTTTTATAAGGGAAGAAAAAACATTAGATTTATCTCAATGTAAAGGGGATACAGTATTCTTACGAATTTTCTTTTGTATATTTTATGGTGTTTTTTTCAAATGTTGTGAGCTCCTTATGGTTTTTTTTGTTTTGTTTTGTTTTGTTTTTAGAAATTGTGGGCTTGCAATCCAGATTGATCCCTATTTAGAGTTTACCTCTAATCATCCATGGGATACGAACTGTCTCAAAACTGACTTGAGGCTAGTTGTCTTCCATGGGCTTAAGTAGACCCAATGGATGGTACAGAGCTCTCAGCCAGCTTGATTCCGGTTTCTAAGAAAGAGCAAAATAGCCCCAAAGCCCCGGGCAACCACCGACACCCAAGAAGCCGCGCAAGGGCAGGAGCGTTTTCGGACTGCATCCGCTTCCCTCCAAGCCCTGCGACTTTTCCGGGGGGGGGGGAGGCTTTTTAGTTTTAAAATAGTTGCACTAGCGTCTTTTTCACGAAGCTCTTTCGTTAATTTTCTCCTCCGATTACCTAAGAGACTTTCGCCACACCTTTTAAGCCATTTTTCGCCCAGCCTGAAGGTGAAAAAAGGAGCAAGTTTGGCGAGGCTCATCTCAGAGCAGTTCTGTCTCCAGCGGTCGATCTGCGCGCGCGCAAAAGGCGAGGGAGAAGAGCGTTCAAGCTTGACCTTCGCGGGAACTTTGCAGAGGAGGAGGAGGAGGAGGAGGAGGAGGGAAGGCGAGAGAGGGGGCTGTGCGAAGCCTCTTGCTTTCTGCCAGACCCGCCCTACGTCCCCGCCAGTCGCTGCCCGAAAGGGCCACGTACTCTGACCAGGACCTTATCAGGCCCGCCGCTCCATCCCAGCGATCTCGGGCCAGGGCTCCTGACATCCCAATCGGCCATCAATTCACCTTCCCACCGCCCCGCTTCCCCATTTAGCCTTTAACGTCAAAAGCTACATTTTTGTCGGCTCCGGCCTGTCTAGGGCTCTCGCGATTTAGCTCCAGGAATGATTGCTCCTGAGAAAACAGCAACAGGCCCATTAGCGAGCAATTTAAAAAGCCCTCCTTCCCTCCGCTTCCCTCTCTAGGCACTTCGCCGCCCGCCGTCGCCTTTTCCTGGGACCTCCAGCTGACCGAAAGGGACCATTTTAAGCCCAAAGTCTAGAGATCATTTTTGCTGCGAAGGAAGGAAAGCTTTCCAGTCACTGACGGATGTCTTCTATTATATTTATGCCCTCGATCTTGGGCTCCTGGGTTTGAAATCTCATTGCCTTCAATGAGCTTTGAAATCCACGACCGCTTACGAGCATATTGCGGTGTTGCCATCTGAGAAGGAAATGTTGGTTCTGGTTAGTGTAATCTACATATATTTTAACCATATGCTTTTGAACTCTGATTAACGAATCGGGCAGCTCAGGTAGTGCTGTCCAGCCCAGGCCTTTGCGATGAATTCCCCCAATAACCATATCCCAATAAACCTGAACTGAACGCACTTTGGAAAACCCCCGACTATGGGCGCTGGATCCTGCCTGCTCACTCGCAGCTTTCATTTCGCGTTGCCTGAATGCATGCGCGCTCGTTCGCTCCCAGAAAGATAGACGGTGAGTCCATAAGAGAGTACGGCCGAAAGGCCGCAATATTTATTGTTTCTCTGAGTTCTTGGAAATAACTTCTTCCTAATTGTCCTTCATGCTTCGTCTGAGCTGCGAATACTGGCGTGAGAAGAAGACTGCCTTCCTCAAATAACTTCTATAAAATAACCAGACGCAGATTAGAGTTCTCCCTACTGCCCGGGAATTAGAAGTGTTAAGAAATAAGCGTGATTCGGCGGAGACAATACCTTTCTTCCCTTAATTAAAGTGGGGAAGATTTTAAAAGAAAAATACCGGCGGCCCCAGAATTCGGGGCATCTGACTGACAGCAAGATCTGGGGTTTTTTTTAAGTCCAGTGTGAAAAATTGTGTTTAGAGGTTGTGAAATCATCGTTTATTGATTACAAGCGATTGTGCCGGGAGAGTAGAAATTCTCCAGGCCGGGAAGGGCTGACCCGAAATTTTGGTGACCTGAAAATTAACGCCCAGGACAAATCCTGGGAAGGATGCGGGTGGGGGGGGGGCAATGTGCAGTAGCAGTGGTTTTTTTTCTTCTTTTTTCTTTTTTAAAGGAGAAGGGCGTTTTCTCGAAAGCAAGTGCGCCAGCCAGTCCAAGGAGTCTGACCCCACTGCTAGAAGAGGGCACATCATTCTGGTCGGTTGTTCTAACCTCGCAACCTGTAGTCAGCGAGGCCTGGCCAACGAGGCAAAACAACTGCTGCTGATGATCTTTTGGGAGGGGGCATCGGACAGCCGCCGCTGGGCCTCGGGAACGTGAATGGGGCAAGCCATTGAAAAAGGAGAGGAGCAAGCAGTGGTCGAGGTACATTGGAAGCTTTCTTGGTATTTCTACTATAACTGACATATATGCCTTTCTCTTTGGATCTGGAGCAGAGACAACGCGCTTTGCCGAAGGGTACAGATGCAGAAAAAGAAGCAAGAGAAAAAGGAAAGCAAAAAGCTCCGGTCACTTAGTCCCTAACAAAAAGCGGTCAAGCAAGCGATCTTAATCCCCCGCTTCCGGATCGGTGGCTCTTAGATCTTATTGCCTCAACCTAAAATTTGTATATCGGTAGTTATTATGATTGCTGGATCGACAATGCGCATTTTCTCTGCTTGATATTCTGGCTTGACTTCTAGGTAATGCCTATTGCCCACAGAGGCCGGGGGAAAAAAAACGCGATTTCTTACGCCTCGACTTCCCAGTGCCCTCGCCCAAAGCAAAGACCAGGCCCTCGGTCGTTTTTTAAGGCGCGAGAGGAAGACGTGGCTGCCCAAGTCCGGCGCTTTTTTTCTCCGGTGTGGTTCCAAGTGCCACCAGCGCCCCGCATCGCAAGCCCCCCTCTCCCCTCCCTCTTCCTATGCAAACAAGCCAATTCTAATTCGCCAGCCTTTTGCCAGAGCATTTTTTCGTAGAGTTAAAATAAAAATAAAAAGGTCTTGGAAAATGTTCGCTCGGGGATATCGCAAGTAAGGAGAAAGTCATTCACATGGTAAATGGCACTCACACACATTTTCCAGATGCCTAAAGTGCTATGTAATCAGGCCAACCGACCGGCTAAACTCTGCGTTGGCCTCCCCCAGTCAAAGCCTCTCGGTGTTTTGCCGTCAGAAACCGCTTCAAACGACGCCTTGCAAGCTGGAAGGCCCACGCCAAGCAGCAAAGCCAGCGTGTGTGTGTGTGTGTGGGGGGGGGGGAGCCCTCATTCTGATAAGTGTGAGAGACAGACTCAGATTAGCTTCCGTCTTTGGTGTCCTCCCTCTTTCACAACAAACACCTTTCGAAGGCGGTGGTAAATTATTAGTCCATCAATAAAAATCACAGTACAAAAGGACACTATCCCTCTCTTCTTCCCCTAAAAGCAAAGGAAAACTGGGTACTGCCGTTCCTTTTTCCACATCGACTCTTACATAAATGAAAGGCTAAGAAGTCTTCTCTCTTTTGATCACAAAGGAATGTCCCTTTGAGAAAAACCTGCTCCGAGCCAGAATGTCAAAATCATAACAATTGAATAAACATGTCCCGCCTTTGGAATTTCTGTTGGCTCTTCAGTTTCCAAACCACCTATGTAACCTCCGTTCTTTTCCCAAATAAAAACAACTAGACAACTTGTTTAACCTTGTTTTTTAAAAAAACAACTAGACAAAACTGCAAACTGTTCTTAAGTACCTTTACTTGGCTGTGAAGGTTTTTATATATTGTCTTCATAATCGAATTGTATTTTTAGGTTTACTTTAACCTAAAGTAATTGGTTAACTTCTAGACATTTTTTTTAAAAGGATTTTGAGTTTGGTTTTAAAGCCTTTCAGGTTATAAAATGTAAGTCTTGTGTTTAACTTTTTAAAAAATACACTTAGGATCCAACGAATACTTACAACATTGGGGCCTCTCAATATTAATTATTCAACAGCACGGATTGTAGTTTGCTTAATTTTAATTTTTGCTTTGCTTCTTTTAGGACTGAAGTGCAGATTAACAAAGAACTGTTAGACACTCTTTTCTTCACTGGTGGGTGGAGGGGAAGGGAGGGGAGGGAGAACTCTTACAATCTGAAGTCCTACCTCGGGTAAGATAGGAAACCTGAGGAGGGGGGGGGAACCAGGGGAAGCAACTGCTTTGGATTAGAGTTATCCTCCACAATCATTCAAAACAGAGCAGGTATTAAAGGTATACACTTCATATTACACACTAATGCCTTCATTTTTGATTTTGATGTCTTTTTGTTCCCTGGGTATACAAACAAAGCAAGGGTAGCATTCATCACGATAGAAGGGGGAACCACCATTTGGACCGCGTGTTTCTTCTTACCACGCTTGAGTTTTCCTCTTCATTTACTTCATTGAAAGATGGATTGCTTTTCTTCCAGGATCCACATTTTGTTTTTAAGAAGAAAGACTAGGGGAGGGAAATTGCACATAAATAAACCATAGGATTCCAAAACAAGGGCAAGAAGGAAAAGTCCTCAGCTCAGCAACCTCGCTTGGAAGGTCCAGAGTCCCAGAAGGGACGAGTTCTCCACTCTTCACGCTCCGCTTTCACTGCTTGAGCTCCAGAGCCCAAACGTGCTGGGGCCAGCCAGTCCTTCCCTTGGTTTTCTTGTCGTTGCTGCTCACTGTGCTTTTCAAGATCTCGTTCTGTTTGAAAAAGGGGAGTGAAGAGGAGAGACAAAGCCATTATCCTCCCTTCCTCTCATTTCTGGATCACCACCTCCCATCCGTACCCTTTGGGGGTGTTCTGCGGGACTGACCGACCGACCTGGCTGCGGAACAGAAAACCTGAAAATCAGATTCAGTGTTTTTTATTTTTCACAGGCCGGTTTATTCACAGGCACTAGCGGTTCATAAAGTAATTAAGGCTGCAATCGTAGATGGTATCCACATGTTTGAAGCAAGCGCCAGTTTATTTCAACGGACGTTTACTTCTTTGCAGATTCGTGCTGGGGTTACTTTGCAAGCCAGCCGGCTGGATCTCAAAGCATCTCGGTGCAAAGCAAGGGAACTGCGGTAAAAGAAACCTTACTCTCCCTTCTGAATTTATGGGATGCCCATTCAGCTTTACGTCTTCCAGACCAGCCTGATCACAAATCAGAACAAAATACTGCAATGTAATCCATATTTTAACAATTTTGATATTCCTTTCTGGGTGAATCATGGGCACACACATACATACCTATTTAAAATCTTTATTTAAATCCCAAATAAAAAATTGCCTCTGATGATCATGGGGTCGTCTTAATTGCAAATGTATAGTCAAATAACCTGCGATTGTACTGATACGAAATGCAAAAGCTGTGTAGAATAAGCCTCTTAGTAAACTTGCTGTAAAACACACATGCACACATAGCCCAGTCCCCAAATTCATCATTTTGCCACTCAGCTATATATTGTCTGCACCATATCTGCAAGAAAAATTGATGTCTCTGATACACACATGCTAAAATCCAGCTTAATTGATTGTTAAATGGGCTATCTCAAATATTGATATAATCACAGTTAAAGGTTTTTTTTTACCCCCTTGGGAGGATAGCAAGTCCAGGGAAATATATTTCCACCAGAATCCACCCTATGCCAGTTAAAGAGCTAATATTAAACTGACCGGTATTTTTTATTCTAACTATAGCCCTACAAGAAGATTTGACACTGTTCAAAAAGGTTCCAGCCTTCAAAAATTAAAACATATATCTCCAAAATTGGATACATATTTTATATGGGAGATATTTCAATCAAAATGCCATTAATTTTTCCATTGAATTTTTTTAAGTGAATGTAAATTTTTGAGGCCCCAATCCACTGCATGCTCCAGCTGCTGTAAGTTTATATATGGATATATTCCATCAATTTCATGGATTAGCATGCCTGCTTGAAATGAAATTCCAATTTGGAATTTATTTATTTCTTTATCTTGACCCTCTCCCAAACTACAACTTCAAAATGACTGTCTGGCTTGTCAGTAACCTTAATTCTTCTGGTCTGGTTAGGGATGTATCTAATAGCTTTCATGCCCTAAAACCTGACAATGTTTATTTCCATAAATAGTATCTCAAATATGAAAGAAAATAATCAGAGATTGTCGACTGATCACATAGGGAAACCTGCTTACAGTCAAGCCTTTTCTGTTGCTTTTATCTTGAAAGAAATCAAGAAACATGGAAGTATTGATAGAAGAGGAAGTGCTTTCTATAAGCTACTATATAAGCTGTAGCTGGTTTAAAATAAAGTTGTGTGCCCATTCTAATTCTAAGCCCACCATTTAGTTTACTATACAAATGGAAGCAAAAATGCAGCCAGACTTGGATATTTTCTGAAAGAAATTGAGTAGAAAGCACCAAACAGTGTGAGCCAAGTGCAACTTTTGGAGATTTCAGTTAATGTCCAATTGTACATGTTTCCCCAGGATGGTGCCTGCCAGCTATATTGTGCCTTCTGCTGAGGATGATTAAATTTGGAGCTATCTGGAGCTTACCAGATTGAATAATAATAAATAATGCAATAATACATCACATATTTGCAGTTTGCATGTTTATGTAGTGACAAAGGATACTCACTGGCGCTTGTGGGGGTGGGGGTGGGTAAATCTGAAACTGCAATGCCTCCTGAAATTTAGAGTCAAACTATTCCACCTCCTCTGGGTTTGCCAGGCAGTTGTTATTGCAGGCATAACAACAGAGGGTGTCCCTCATCCTCTTCCTCTTCCCAAATTATATTCCTTCCCAGAGACATCTATAAATTCTAGGATAGAACTGGAGGGGGGGGGGAATGGTCTTGGGCCTTAATTAACAATTTAAAGTCAAAATGTTGATTGTGCCGGGAAACTTGTAACTGGGAGGGTTGCAAACTGAAGGTTTCATCCTCAAACTAAAATTAGCATCTTTTCCAAGCCAACCGACATCTAAGCAAAAACCAAAATATTTGGATTTTAACTAGAGTGGAAACTTTTCCAACATTGGAGAGCTAAAGCAAGACGAATGAGAGATATAGTCTTCTCCTAAAACCAGTGATTTTTTTTTAAAGGAGTTCTTGGTAGATTATCTGCATATCATTGCTGAGAACGTTCCGAAGAGTTTCATTCAGGGTCAGGATATTGGCTTCCAAGCCAGTTTCTACAAAATTCTTTAGCCAATTTGTGGATCCTTGCCTAATTTTGCAGGTCTGCAGTCCTAAAAAGCCTTGAGACTAGAAGCCAATACAGCTGAAAGGAACGAGATTTATTTTAAAGGGTGAGTTGCGGTGTTGTCTAGAGAAATATTTGTGTCCCCCCCCCCATGGACCTGTATTCGAGTTACACAGCAAATCCTTAAACCTGGTCAGAAGAGAAACAAAGGGGCTGCTCTCTGGACGCTCCCTGTCTTTCTCATTTTTAAAAAGTTTTCCTTAGGAATAAAGGAAGATGAATGTTTTATTATATATGAATGTATGGCTATTTGAGGACCATTTCCAATCAGCCACAGGAATGCAATTCACACCTGAGGTAGGCATGTTCTCCTATCCAGGGGCCTCTCATTTACCCAGCTCTGAACTCCAGAAAAAAATTATGCAATATTTATACAAAATTTGAAATACAAATGACTTCAAATTGAGAATATTTAATTTTGAAATCAACCCCAAATCATTGCCTCTGTCCCCTGCAGCCAGCCTTGACCCGGGTCAAATTCTTCCCTACTCGTTTCGGCTTCGCGAGCTTGGCTTGGGATCGGGGACGCTGGGGCCCGGCCCTCAAGCAAGCCTCGCAGCCCCATTCCAAACGCATTTCCTCCTGGGTCCACAGGGGAGGCCTTTCTAAAAAACGACGCGCGCTTTTGTTGTATTACCCGAAACTCAGTATCTTGTCCCCCGCCCTCCGGTTGGTCCCTAAATTTCCATCGATTAAGGGCGGACTTAGCCGGATGCGGCTAAGAAGCGCGATCCGCTAAGCTTCTGAGCAACGTCATTCAGCCGCCCTCCGAAGGGAAAGGGCTGGCCTAAGCAGAGAGGGTTCGGCGTGGCTGGCCTGTGAGCCTCGCCTTTCCCACCCCCTTCCCTCCCGGGCCCGCGGGGGACACTGACCAGCTCCTTCTTCCTCTTGTCCTCCTTGAGGTCGGTCTTCTTGATCTCAGCCTTGAAGGCCTCGGCCTCGCCATTGGCGTCGTCCTTGGCCAGGAGGTCCATGAGGTAGGCGATGTAGCTGGTGGCCAAACGCAGCGTCTTGATCTTGGAGAGCTTGGTGTCGGCCGGGACGTTGGGGATGCACTCGCGCAGCTCGGCGAAGGCGCTGTTGATGCTCTGAGTCCTGCGCCGCTCCTTGCGGTTGGCCGTGCCACGCCGTTTGACCGGTCGGGGGCCGCCCCCCAAGCCCGGCGGCCCGCCGCCACTACCAGGGGGAGCCACGCCGCCCACGTAGTGGTGCGGATGCTCCAGGCCTGGCGCTCCGTTGGCGTACTCGGGGCTGTAGGAGAGCGCCATGCTATAGTCGGGCGGAGACATCTCCGAAGGGTGGCTGCTGATCAACCAGCCGTGGAAGTAGGGGTTCTCCTCGTGGCTGCAGCGGCTGGCGGCGGCCGCGGCGGCCGCGGCGGCGAAGGGGTAGCCGTCATGGTGGACCACCGAGTGGTGTGGGAAGCCACCTACCAAACTCATCGCCACCGGCCTTCCGCGGCCGCCCGCCACCCCGGATCCGCTGCCCTGGATCTCCGCTCCCGTGAAGACCCCCGCCTTAGCACCGGCTCGTCGCCATCGGGCAGGCGCTGCTAAGTCCCCCGGGCGCCGACAGGGCAGGATCAGTCCCCACCGCCGCCCTCATACGGGGCGGGAGGGGGCTTAACCTTGGGAGCGCCCGCCCGCTGCAGAATAGGTAAGGAAAGCAGCCCCCCTCTCCAAATGGATTGGCGGTCCTCCCTTCCGAGTTGTTGTCGACCAAAACAGCAATAGAGCGGGCGGGTTTACTTACACCTGCATTTTGTTTTTCTAATTTCCCCACGTCTCCCTCCCCTCTGCCGCCCTGCTTCCCAGGCCCGCCGCCTGGATGGCAATCGCGTCTCCTTCGCTTAAAGGGTGAGCAGCCTTCTCCTCTTGGGTTTTAGTTCCTCTCCCTCAGCTCCCGGGAATACAAAACCCAGCCAGTCCGTCTTCGGGGGAGGGGAGGAAATCCGGCGGTCTTCCTGCTCCGACGTGGAACCCGCTGAGAAGAGTGATAAGGCTGGTCTCGAAAGAGGGAAGAAAGAGGGAGAGGAGGAAACAGAGCACAACGCTTAGGTAGCAGACTCGGAGCTGCGCAACGCACTGGTCGAGTTTCCCAGTTTGATCTCCGGGTACAGCTACATCTTTAGGGCAGTTCGGGTTAATATATGTCGTCAGAGGCTCTTTAGCCCAATCGCTGCAGACCGGGGCGGGGCATTTTCCTCTGAGCCATAAAACGTTTTTTTTTTTTTTTGATCTTCGCGCTGCTAATTGTTCAGGTTCTCTTTTAGGATTGGCTGCCGTTCCTATCCGTAATATAATTAAAACAAACCAGGAAAAGTCTCTGCCCATCCCCCCCTCAGAATTCAGAGATTAATGCAAGTGTTTAACAATGTTTTTCTGTAAGTATCTTCGTGCCTGCCCTGTCTTTTGGCGGAAAATCTTATCTATTAAAATGGATTGGCAGTAAAACTAAGAAGAGGTTTGATTGTCTCAGTTCAGATGTATTATATGATATAATGATGTAAGTATTTCTATATATTGCCAACCAATGAATAATATACCAGAATACAATAGTATTGTATGGTTGATATAAAAGTATATCTATAATTAAAACTGGTTAAATTATTATACAAATATTACATTTACAAAGATGAAGGAAGAATATTTGATGCTGAGGCAAGCCATTTACATTGCCATTTATTGTCACTTAAATGTAAAGCTTTCCACAGTTCAGAAAGAAAACAAGATCTGGAGTATAATGAGAAGGGATCCAGCTACAGGACCATAACAGCCTGAAAATTTTATTAATGAGTCTCTATTTGCAAGCCACATTGTTCCATTATATAGGTCTGCATAAGATTCCTTTGATATAAAATGATGCCTGCTTGTTCAGTGTTATTCATATATGTAAAAAAAGAAAATATCTTCCTCTCCAAAACAAGAGGAAAGAAGAAAGGAGATGGGGGAGGGGGGAAAGATAAAAGCAGGAATTGTATGTTCTAAAAAGGGGAGAACCGGGTCTGACATTAAGGAAACAGTCCAAAAGGCTGACCTGAGCCATGAATTAATGCCTTTCTTACCTAAAATGATTTTAATCTTATTGCTTTTTTCCTCAGGCTTTTTGGTCTGTCTGGTATCCCCACCTGAAATCAGCTGTCTCTTCATTTAGCCTGGGTAAGTAATTGAATCTTTTCAACAGCACTTCAAAGTCTTAATGTTTACATTTCTGCTAAAAAAAAATATTTCAACATATGCTTGTACTTTTTGTATTTAACAATACAAGGCACATCCAAACAACTACTTTATGACTGCTATTATTAGTGGGGCCAGTAAACATGAGGAAAACATGTTTGATCCAACAGTAGTGTTAGGCTAAAAAATGCATGCATTTTACTATTTTTACAAATAATTCAAGGCAGTAAACATATCTAACACACCTTCCTCCTCTTTTCCCCTCAACAACCATCCTGTGAGGTGGGTTGGGCTGAGAGAGAATGCACCCAGGTGACTTTCATGGCTTGAACTTTCTGAAGTATGATAGGTAACAAAGTCTTGATAAAAATTAATATACATATGTAATTTTTGTGCATATGAAATGTTGAACATGGGGGGGGGGAGTTCATTTCATGCACAAACTAGATATTTGAACCTAGGCAACATCTAGCTTGTCCCTAAGGCAGGATCAATATGTGGTAGAAAGATTTTTTTTTCCTCCCCTGCATTCTTGGGAAGAAGAGCAAGGTTGAAATAGTTTAGAACACAGTCCCTAACATAAAGGGAGCAATAGATCAAATAATCACACTTATCCGGAGAATTCTTGAATGAAAACTTTTTTTTTTGTTTCTGTTGCTCTACCCAGCATGTGAGCTTAATGCTTTCTGATCATAGTCATAGAACTATACAAGAATACAAGTTTCTTGATATCTGTTGCTTAGAGAAGAAATCCTGAAAGGAAAATTACAGCTTACATGTGACCTGAAAATGGGAAAGAAGTTGAGGAATACATAAAATAATTGTATAGGCTCTGGTCCATCAGAAGAGATCTTTGCACTCCAACCCTGGATTTTGCAATATGGGCACCCTGTTTTATTTCAAGATTGCTGCTTGATCTCACTGCTACCCACTCCTCAAGGGGCCACAGACAAAGGCTGAAGTGAGACAAAATGTGATAGCTGCAGACCTTAAAGTGGACTGTAGTAGGGCTCATGTTTAGCTGTGGGACTTACTCCCAAGTAAGCATTCTTAGAGGTGCTGAGTAAGCATTCTTAGAGTAATCTACACGTTTTCTGCCAGCAAGAGAAGCCTTGCTGTTAATTCAGGGTTAGATTAAGACTGCCACTCATTCACTAGATTCAAAATTAAACGAATGAAATTTAACTTCCGAATCTCATTCACAGAGAATTCACTGAATCGAGGTGGGAAAAAGTCCCATTCACTTCACTGATTCATTTTAAATGGTGGCTAAATCTAACTCCAAGTTTCCACTGCCACTAAAGCCTACACTGTAACCTTTGGCTCAATGGGAGAAAAGCAGTGTGTGTGTCAGGCCTTTGCTTCTCACTGCACAGGGATTCAACGGAAAGCCTTCCCATTTCTACTGAAATCCCAGAAGAGCAGCCTTACCCTATAACTGTCATTATCCCTTTTGGCCAAACAAGCCAATCTGAAATGAATGCCTTTTCACACGTGTGAATGCAGGGGAATCTTGCCAATGGGGAGTTTAATGAAAATAAACAACCAGCTATGGCAGCAAATGGGCAAATGCTAAATTTGCCCCATATAAAGACAGTCAATAGCACCCATAGCCTGGCCTGCAACATGCCCTGGTTTAAATCTGGAATGGCCCGATTTTAAGACTCATTAAGGAGGGAAAGGACGGTGAGTGCAATCTTAATTATTTACAGGCACCTGAGGACTTTGCCCTGGTTTCTGAGGGAGCTTGACTTGCCCTCAGTATGGCAGATGGCTGTCAGGAGAGCAGTAAACGCAAGGAAGCCATTTGGAGCCCCCACCGGCAATTCGCAATTCGGTTAAATCCAAGCATTTGGCTTGATCCCGATTTTCCGGTTGAGGCATTAAGTCAATTTACACCCGGATCCTAGCATGGTTCCTTGGAAGGAGAGCGGTCCTCTACACAGGAGTGTTTACCCGCAACGAATGTGTGCAGCCCCACTGCATTTAAGGAAAAGGCGGCGGGATTTCTTGCCATAACACCAGGTCAGGTTGTCGAGGAGGAGCCGGGATTCATTTCCTTTTAAATTAAACACCTTTACTTTAGGATTTGTATTGCTAATCGCTAAACTTTGGAACGACCTCTCTGATGCGAAAGGAATAAAGCAGCAGTTGGTTTCCATAACGTTGTGTTTAATCAGACGGCGGCAGTTAACCTGGCTATTAACGCTGCAATGCGGGTACAGGGACTTGCTTATTCCGCACTTCTTGGATCCCCCCAGCTTCGGCTCTGCCGAGGCAAACGCGGCTCTTGGGACATTTCCCCGGCAAACTGCTGCGGCTGCTGCTTCGGAGTTTCCGAGAAAAAGTCCGGGCCAGAAGACCATCAGACCCCCCGAGAGAGGAGAGGAGGAGCGGAAAAGAACCTCTCACTCGCCCGAGGCAGACCCAGCAAGCGAGCGACGTAGCTGCTGGATCTGAGCCCTTCGGCTTTCCGGAGTGACAGCTTGCCTGACTCTACACTGCAGGGCAATTCGGCCTTTACTTCCTCCCGTCGTCCTGAGCTTTCCTTACTTCTCCCATCAAGAGCCATCTAGGCAAATTCTTATTATTAACCCCTTATTAATCAAGAAGGACTTGAAAGATTCATAGAAATCAATAAAGCGCACGTCCCGTTTGAATGTAATGTGCAGGGTTGGAAGAAGAAGGAAAAGAGGTTATCCTCTGTTTTAAACGGTTGTTTTGGGCTCCTTCCACGCTCGTATAAATTAATGTTTTTTACGAAGTAAAAAAGAGACAGATGCTCCGTTCATTTATTTAGTAAATCGACATTAAATCGACGTCCCGCAGAGCTCAGGCACTTTCTTAGGGGTATATTGATTCTGTTCAGATCTGCTTGGAAGGAAAATCCCCTGAGCGGACCAAGAGCTTCCCCCGAGAGAAGCTGCGTTGTAGCTTCTCAGGGGTTCGAAGAAGTCGGCTGAAGGCGCGTACAGATTTCTTTTCCTGAGTTTGAGCTTCGCTTAAGTTGATTGAGAGGCATGACTGGCAATGACTGGGAATATATTGTAATAAATTTTGAGACCAATGGCGGGGGAGGTAGCTGTTTGAAAGAAGTGAAATGAAGAAACAGTACTTAAATGGATTAATGAGAAAGAAGAGAGAAGTCAGAGAGAGAAAGTTAAGAGGAAAACGATGAACGGCAATTCGATGGCCTGCACCCCGAACCCTCAGCGTTGCCTGTCTGATTTCTCTTCCGGGGCTCTTTGTTAAAGGTTTGGACAAATTACAATCTGGAGCGTGGAGGGCGCCGGGAGGTTTCGAAAGCAGCGGAGACAGACTTCAGGAGAACGCATTTCAGCCTGGTCCCTGAGCTGCGGCGGCTGGAGCAGAGATCAAACGGGGTTTGTGGGTGCCGCAGGGCCAGAGGCTCAGTGATGCCGTTAGGTGGCCAAGGCGCCGGACGCGTGGAACCGGCAGAATGGCGACTTCTGAACGGGTATCCAGACCACAAATATCTCCCACATGCAGAAGATTCGCCTTGGTTTCCACTTTTCTTGTATCTGTTCTTTTTCTTTCTGTCCTTGTCTAAGTTGACGAAATGTGTTCTCTTTTTCCTTTCTTCCTTTCTTCCTTTCTTCCTTTCTTCCTTCCTTCCTTCCTTCCTTCCTTCCTCCCTCCCTCCCTCCCTCCCTTAAAATGCATATGTGTTCGAGGACGAGAAAGAAAGAACTGTAAGCCTTGGTAAAACTCGCTTCCCACTGTCTTCTTTGAGCATGCAAATAAAAAACCAAAAGAACTACTCTAAGGTCAGAGGGACGTGCACAGTTTCTCTGGCTGTCCTTCCCTGCGAGCTTTCCTCCTTTCTTAGGTCCCATTAACAAGGAGGAAAAGGGATAGCATAGTTTAAATTTCCATTATTTACAAGCGGCAAACCTCGAGAGAGGAGGGCTCAACAAGGATTATTGTAGTTGGTATTTGGAGGGAGAATGCAAGCCAGTTTTTCCTCCACTCCGCCCTCGCCCCTACTTCTACAATGCACGCGGAGACTTTGGCGTGTTTTAAGGCGAAGACTCACTCCAGCTTTCGAGGGCTGGTGCTATTTCTTCGTGGCTTCCTTTTTTTGCCCCCCAATCATCACATGACCTTCTCCTCTCAAGTACATCTCAGCCATTAGACAATGTTGAATGAATGCAATTTATTCTTAGGAAAGCTCAACTCGACAGCTGCTAGGTATAAAAAGCCTTGGTTGTTTGGATTCTCACCGCAAGCAGAGAAATGACTAGGGAAGGAATGACCGTCCACCACTCAGACAGAAAGGAGCCTGGCTCTGCAATTTCCTCCGCCATCTGCGGTCCGGATTCTGGAAATTGCCCGCGAAGCCTTTGGCCCAAGGGAAACAGTTGCCCGGGAGAGTAACAAAAGCATCTCTCCCCTCCCCCCAGCACCACAGGGCAAGTACAGCGCCTTCTGCAAATTCTGTGTTGGGGCCACAGATCTAAGCAAGTCCATTCAGACCACCGGGCTTTCCCATTTGAATGGGCGGCGTTTGGGTTAAACGGACAGGTTTATCTAGCAGTAGGTCTCGCTTAAAAACACACACATACACACGTGTCTTTAAGGCATTCGTTTGCTTTCAGGACACCAAGTTAATGCAATGAATAGGAATTTATAAAGTGATACCCAAGAATGTCTTTGATATAAAAACATTCTGCTGTCTCTCATACACTTTAAGTTTTTTTTTTTTATCCATCTGCCAACATTATTTATTTATTTTTGATGCCATCTTGACTCATCCTTGCAGTGGATAAGTCAAAATGTATGGGAAAGAAAGATTTTTCTGTCTCTTCATCTCCTCCATCTAGCCTTTCACTATTTTGTGTATTATTTCCAGATTTCAATAATCTATATCGGTATTTTATCAAACGAATCTGACATTACCTCCTTCCTCCAATATATTATTTCTGGATAACAATTCCCTTAGTGAATGAGGAATGCAAGTC